ACCGACGTTTCCGTGTCCCCTACTTTTACTCCCTTCCGGACTGCCTCTACGACTTCCAACAGATCGTTGATGAACACCTGGAACAATGTTGGGGACAGCGTGCAACCTTGTGGGACCCCCTGCTCAATGTCGAAGAATTTAGACAAGGGAGGGGGACGGCAAATCAAACCTTACAGTGCAGAAGTCGGGGCCTACAGCAGTAGTGCGTCGTAGTGTACATCTTGCCTTATAGCGGTATTCGTGATGTACTGAGATCGGGAAGGGCAAGGACACGTGCGAAGGCTGACGCTCCGCGAGCAAGTGTGGACTCTACCAGGCTAAGAACAGCAGTATCCTTACTAGAAATAAACATCTGCAGCCAACTTCTCCTGTCACCACAATCACAAAACCAATGTTATGTCACCGTTACGCCGACCACGATGTTCACGGATCACCGCAAGTGTGCCATTTCTGGCAAGCCCCGTCATTCCTACCGGTGTCCCTATCGCAATCCAACCCTAGGACGGGAGATCCAAGAAGCGCAAGGCCAAGAAAAATAAGAAGGGCAAAGCTGGCCCGTCGCGTGGAGTGGTTGGCAGCGGCTTCGGTGGTCCCGTGCGGCAGACGAAGAGCGTCCCGAAGGGGCTGGTGGTGTCTGAGACGGGAGGGGACAAGGGGGACGTCGTGGATTGGAGCAAGGGCCAACAGCTCAGGGAGGTGAGGTGTACCGCGTAAATTTTAAATTTTGAACCCCAGGTCTGTATGCCGCACACCCCAGATGTGTGCGTCCTTCCGAAGACCAAGAATTGTCCGTGCGCGTGTGGCATGTACCAGAATGTCTAATTGAGATCTTGTGTGAACACTACCTTTGTGGGTTCCGGGTTCGGTGATTCTGGCTGTGGTGCAGGCAAGACAAAAGGGGGGGAGGGGTGGGAGGAGGGTATAGGACGTAGCACACGCGGGCCAAGCTCGCGGGGCGGAAGAAGTGTTGACACTTCAGATGTGTGCCAGCAAGGAACAGGTGCACAGCCATCAAGAACATAGGAGAAGGCAATCATATTCATCCACGAAACCTTTCCGGACCTTAACCCTTGTTTTGCCCCTCAGACCGTCTCATTAACACATTCCCCCTTTCGTAAATACGGCGCACGGGTAGACGGATCGCAAGGAAAACATGGTGGCCGACTGGCAGCAGGACGCCAAGAATTTGGAAAGCCTAGACCCGTCTGACAGAGAAAAACTTGCCGAGCAGCTCCGAACGGCACTGGGCAAGAAGAAGAAGAAGCAGAAGCAGGAACAGAAAGCGAAAGCGAAACCAAGCGATCGTGGCGAGAGCAAAGGCTTTTCTACGACCGCTATCCCTACGGGGGGCACGGATGCATCGGCGATCAAAGGTCGGGGTGACGGTCGTGGCGTCTTGGCTTCCGCTGCCGCTGCTGCCGGCGCCGTGGCGGCGGAAGATGTTGCGGGTGTCTCTGTCTTTCCTTCGGCAGCCGAAGGCAGCAATGGGGCCATGGAACAACTTGGTTCGGACGGGGAGTATGAGGTTGGCGAGAGCAAGGGGGCAGAAGGAAAGAGCGTGTCGGCCGGTGTTGGTGCCGAAGGTCGGGGAAAGGACGAACCGTTGTTGGTGGAGGCGGGCGCCGAGGGCGACCCCGGAAAGAAAACCGTCGCCGACGGCAGTGGCGGCGTCCAGGTGCTCCCGGTCGCTGGTGCAGCCGTTGAGGGAGGCGATTCACCTGTGGGTGGACAACAGTTAGCCTCGCCCGGGGCTGACGGAATCGAGAAAATTGGTGATGGAGTTCCCCTGGAGAAGGTGATGGGCATCGGAACAGGTGTGGCGGTTGTCGAGGCTGCTACCAATGATGGCGCTTGTAGCGATGCTGGGGGTGTATCTGCGGTCGGCTCTACGGGAGAGTCAGCAAGAGATTCCTCAGACGAGGGCGAACTCTCACGGGCCTTGAGTTTTGGGAAGGGGATTTCTCTGCCTTCGGAGGAGGATGCGGCAGAGGGTGATGATGGCGAGATGAAAAAGCCCGTTGCAGCGAGCGAAACGCCAGGGAGTGGTGGCGAGGATGACCGATTACTACGTAGCTTCGGGAGAGGGGTTGCCTTTCCTGCGAAGGCTGATGATAGCGGAATGTAGAACATAACCATTTCTGTGACTTGCGTGTGATGTTGAACCGCCGGTGCTTGATAGGGGTCGGAGGAGTGAGTAGCATCAGTGAGGACAGAGCTTATCGTATGATGTGCAGAACAAGTGCGGTGTTTTCGTTAAGGGGTAGTTAGCTGGGAGTCATCGGCAATTTTCCGACACGCGCGGCCGATGGACGGAAGCTGTCTACCGATGTACTCCTAAATTGTATCGTTCTGTCCGATTGCCTCGATGAGGTATGCTGCTCACGGTTAGCGCCAACTCTTCGACAACTTGCTCGCGAAATAATCACATGGGGCGGCTTAGGTTTCGCCGTGTCGACATCCAACGGTATACTACTACGGATGGATGAAATTCGATGCATTGGAGTCGATGCAATCGAGAACCGTCAAGTTCTAACAGTAGCGAGTGCCGGCCGGTCAGCTCGTAAGGAACACATGTGTTCGAGCAAGGCTCAAATCAAAGCCTTGCGAGTCTCAACGGATGACCACGGGCAAATTATTGTTGACGAAGCGCACCGACGACACTCACGCTTCGTCGCAACTGGACACTTCCCTGAGTCGTATGTACAACACATCCTGTGAAATGAAATTAAGCTTAAGCTCGCTACCCCGAGCGGTAGGTGTGCCGCCTGTCGTCTTCCTTCCTATCCTGAGGAGAAAACAAGACGCGTCCAGAGGCTGGCCAGGGGGCTAAGCTCCGGCCTGTTGCAAAATAAACAAACCTCACGACGAGCCGGGAGTCGTCTGCGGCTGGTGCGGAATGGCTCGTCGGTATGTAGGATGCATACGCTGACTTCGTGCAATTGAAACACTCCGTTTAATGCTACACGGTACATGCGAAGGGGTGCGGGTGCTAAGCAGATGCCTCGTGGCCGTCGTCCGTGCGGAACAGCAGACACAAGGGAAATCGCGACACGGGTATCATGTAATCTGGTATTTAGCAACATCACCTTCCGATTTGTTGCCATGATTAATCGCCTTACAAACAAAAAACGCCATCAAGCCAAAGAGAAGGTCAACGCCAATACACAAGACAGACAAGAAAGGGCCCGTTCATCACTGCTGTACCACCGCCGAGTCCAAAGAACCAGAGCACAGAGAACCTAAAAGCCAGACTTCCAATGAGTAGGGCTCTCACTTCAAGCCGTGCATGCGAGAGAACGACAACGAGACAACGAGACGCAAACACTTGTTGCAACGAACGAACGAAATTGACCCTTCTGCTTTTGGCGCTTTTGTCCAGAGAGCAATAGCTGCCAACAAGAAACGGCCAGACGGGTACGCCCATCAAACCAACACCTGACATGTGAACATGAGCAGAGCCAAGCAGAAATTCCAGCACCCCCCCCCTGCTCCGCATGTATCAGTACAGTAAGAGAGACTTCCANCGCGATCCAAATAAAACCGCATGAACCCGAGGCAGTCATGCATGCGAATGACAAAGGGGCTTAGCTGGGCTGCTCTTGCAAGCTGTTCAATCATCATCGATCAAGAGTCTCGGGTGAGGTCTGCAAGATTGGCTGCGAGGGCAACAGAGGAAGATTACTGACCGCACGGCGGCGACTTGACTTACCAGCCAGACAGACTATTCGGAGAGGCGACAGGCGTAATGTCCGCGCGGTTCATTCTCTTGTCAATCGAAAGTCAAGGGGTCGCTGACGACCCGCCCCCCCCCCCAAAGGCCAAAACACGTGCAACGCTTGTTCTTAGTTAAGATAGATCCATGGCGCTGGGGCTCGATCTTGTCCGTTGCACAAAACACCCGCTATATAACCAACAACTGAGTGCTGAACAACGGCAAATCAGCGCACCTACATGTCCGCATAGGAAATGAATGTAAGACTCACGGCCTCCAACACGCAGGGGAGCAAGCAAATGGGCGAGAGCTGAGAGGACAACAGCCCCCTACAAATGGAAGGCACCATTTTTGTTGGCCAAACCAAATAAATCATCGAGAGACCAAAAGAAAAATCTAAGTCCGGCATGAAAATATATGGGCAACATATTTGAAACCGATGATTAACTCCGCCCCAACAGCGTTGAGAAACAGGGGGAGACCCGACAAGCACCAGAGACAACGACGAGCAAAAAACATAAGAAAGACCGAAAAACCGAAATGAAAGAAAGGTGCAGGTACAACGCCACGCAAGAATGGCAAGCTTCTTGTGTGCGCCGTGCATGGAGGTACGTATCAAATTCAACGGGGGCCAGTAGAACAGCAGTCATCTGCATCAAACAATCGCACCAAGTCAGCAAAGGTCAGATTGTCAAACCCCGTCTGCCTGGCTATCTTACCCACACCCATTCAAAAACCATTTTACTTTCAGCGCAAGGCTTAACACACGTCAATTTACTGCTTAATGGTGGTCGTCGTCGTTGCCCTGAGAACGCCGCCTGCATCGTCACGCCAAACACTACCCACCCGTCATTTCTGATGCTTTCATCAATCGATATCCTGATGCACTGGCGGTAACACCCTCAAGTGCCAGCAAAATCGCTCCGCGAGACACACGCACGTGCCCCTCCCCCCCTCCTCCGGTCCACGCCCTGCCCCTCTCCAGGCGGTAGGCTCCTTACAACATTTCCCTCTTACGCTCTCGCCATTGCTCAGCGGCACAACGCGCAAGAAATCTGCGGTGAAGAAAGGTGTAGATAGTACTCTTGCCAAAAAACGCGGGTGATTCCAAGCTACTCATACCGTTGTTGATATATACTTAACCGTATGTGCCAAAAACATCGCTCGATCAACAAATCCGTGCAAGCACGGTGCACACAGATACAACACGCCAGCAACAAGATATATGAGAGAGAGAACAAGAGAAGAGGGAGAGAGAGAGAACGAGCGGCACACCCCCAGGGGCAATTTTGCTTCTTCCACTCTCATCCGGCAGTCCCGCCGTACCAATCCTAGGGACAGCGTCATAAGGATATCCCCCAAACCACTCTGCCCTTCCGCCTGCCCCAATCCCTATTTGACCAGCGCGCAATAACAACAAAACTTGTTGGTCTAGGTTTTCTTGTTATATGGCGATACCGCCATTACGCATAGAGAAAAAAAAATGACGCCAAAAAGAAACGACAGCGAGAGATGCGCAATCCAGTCTTGCCTCTCCCAACGCGCCACTATTTCAAATTCTCCTCTTCCCCCCTCTCTCTCGAAAAATCGTTAGTTTTCTCTTGGCCAACCTAAAAATATCGCGCGCACACCACACATCATCACTACAACATAAAAATGAAAGACATGCACATTCATATACACATCTCAAGGGAAATACCAATGAACATGCCCCATTCCTACTGACGGCGCAGCCACAGCAACGATTCACCACACTATCTGCAATCGTTCCTAGAGGTTGCGGTGCAATCGATTTCCCGCCGAGCCTAGCTCAAGTTGTTGCAGCAAACCACACAGAGCCAGGGTACATTGGTACATTCCAAGTCACTCCGCCGAAACCGAACCGAACCGACTCTACCATGCGTCACCTACAGCGTCCGACCAGATGCCTGGTGGAGGCGTGTTCAACACGCCCCCTCGGGCACCCTTCCCGACCGGAGTGCAAGAGGAAGCCCCGGGGACCAAACGAGAGCGCCAATGAAGGCGCGTAGAGCAATGTGCTGATACTGATATTTAACAGAACAAGACATCGAAATAACGACAACAAATCAAAGAGTGGAAATATCAACCGTAAACACACGCCCGGCTGCCGAGCACGGCTGTTGCATAATTAGGTGGATAGGTTCATGGAGGGGGAGACGAGACAACTCTAGTCTCAGGGGCATAAAACCAAAAAACAGCGGCACGTCCTCCCTCCAGATCACCGGACCTTTTGCCTCTTCCTAACAAATACCAACCGTCAGATGTGCCCACCTTGTGGAATCAAACATTTGCTTCACGCGTGCCACGCCTCTAGACAGTGACAGGCCAATGAGAAATCCTCACACCACGCGCGGGCAAAATGTCACACCAATGCAAGTGCTCCCACGCATTCAGAAACAGAAGCGGAACGTACACGTACGCAACTGACCAAAGGCTGCCCCGTACAACAGAACCCGCAGCGGAAAAAAAAAAAGTCGGGGAACCATTCTAACTATCAGTTCATCAGTTCAAGCCGCGCGTGGAAAATCAGGGTGAAATTCAAAGAATCCCACCCACATGTAATCAACATGTACAAGAAAGACCAGACGCTCCGAAAGCCACGCTGTCTATTCCGCCGCGCCAATGAGAGTCAACTCGCACGCCACCTTAGGATTTCCACTCCGCAATCGCCACATCGGTTCCTGGGGGCTTCAAACCACCAAGGCTTTGGTATCGATGTCCCCTCCATTTTCAAGAGCTTGCGAGGAGGCGCTCCCCTCGGCTCCACGATGCATGCAAATCTGTACTTAATTGTTGTCCCTTTCTTCTCTTCGTGAGCGAACGGAAGAGCACCCGGATCGCCTTCTCCGACGGCGGCAGGCATCCGCAACGGCAGGAAGGGACCACTCCGTCAGAATGAAGCACACCATTCCTCCCTCGCTTTCTTCCCCTCGCTCCTCCGCCTTGCTTTCAATCATTGCTTACGTGCACATAATCGGCCCCTTTGAAGTCATCAAGGGCCCAGGGGTCTTCTTGTGCTCGTACCGGACAACCTGCGAACCGAACAGCAGACAGAACAAAGAGGGACAAGAGAGAGAGGGGGAGAGAGGGAGAGAGAGGGGGAGCGGGCAGCAGGGGCGAGGGGTCATTGAGTGTGAAGGGATATTGGACGATATTTTTCAAGAACGGGAGGGCCTGTTCCTGAATGGAGAAGAGTCATTGGTACCGAGCGAGCGGAGCGGTGGGAGTTCCCCGACGAGGAGCAACCGAGGGTTGCTTGCCGATGTAGATGCGAAGGTAAGGACAGCCTGGAACAGAGGCTCCGGCGTACTATGCGTGTGGGTCAATCAACGGGCAAGGATAAATGGTGGGATCTGGAAAGGACCAAGGCGAAAGACTTGAATGATGCGCAACGAAACGAGAAGGATTTTCTCGCGGATAGGGCATTATCCAATCTTAAGGACCAACTTCGACGTGGTAGGCAGGACATGGGCCGTGGTTCCAGCGAAAGTCGTACCGCAACATGAGCAGAGAAGAACCTCGTTGGATACGCACGACGGAACACTTTTATTGCCAACCGTCAAAAAAGAGTCCCGTACCTCGTCATCCCCCACTTGGAAAAGCTCCTCGTTGAGAACCTTTTCCCAGACCATGCTGACAGCCCTCTCGTTCTTAGAGGGGGTAGGGGGGTGACCCTTAACCGTCACGAGCTCGCCGATGGGGGCATCCGGCGGGGGGATGAGGAGGTCGTCGTCCATGCATAATACCACCGCCGTGAACATGATGCCCTGAATGGCGCAGTTTTGAGAGGGAGAGAGAAGGAACGCTGGGAAGAAGACATGCCTTCTCTCGTGCAAAAAGTACGCATATGCGATGGAATATTTTCGATTCCAATGTCTCGCGTGCATCGAGGCCGCCGTAGAAATAACGCTCTGACACAGCAATGCGACACGGCGGAAGGAAGATCTAAACGATAACAGGCAACCAAGTACGTTGCCTGCCTTACCGAGCATCAGCACGTTCCGTCAGTATCCTATCCATGTTTCGCGGCGGCCGTAGTACAACGGGCGGAAAACGGGGTCGCCAAATAAAAATCCGAATACGTAAAAACTGCTTTACATTGAGGAATCACAACCTGCACACGAACGTCACCAGCGTTGACATGACTAACAACAGAGAGACGTCCACGCGCCTGAACTGAACACAACTTCCAACACACGTCTAGTTCGCAGCGTTTCTTGCGAGTGCGTCTTGCCTATGCCTAGCTCGAAAACATTTTCCCGAATGAAAGGCTCGCCACAGAGCAGCGATATCATGCCACTCTCATTGTTGCGGCTACCTTCCACGACACAGTCTACACATCACATCTCTTTCAGTTGAATGAAGCAGCAGGACGCACCTGATGCTTGATGCTCGGGAGATTGCATAGCAGGATCACGGGGGTTCCTGGGCTGGGAGGCGCCGTGTCGAAGTGCCAGAGCACCGTCCTTTGTTCGGTGAGATCCTTGTCATCGGGGTGCACCTGCACGGCCAGCATCGCGTGAGCGCTGTTCCGCGGAAGAGGCGTCACCTGAGCAGAAAAAAAAAGGGAGGATAGGAGTATATAGGAAGAATAAGTGTGTGAGTGCGGGTGCATGCTCACGTGCTGCATGGGACGTAGAATACTACATTCGACACGAGTAGAGCCAGTGTGGCTCTCGAAGCCCGCATCAACCGTAGAACGAACGGCGTGCGCCAGATGTTCGCTAACCCACCACCCGCTAACCCAAACCATGTCGGACCTCTTCATTCTTGTTCTTGTCCGTAAAACGTCCTAAAAGCACCACCGAATCTTGCCCCCCCCCCCCCCCCCCCCCCCCCCCCCCCCCCCCCCCCCCCCCCCCCCCCCCCCCCCCC